TTTTAGGGCCTTTTGGCACTTAGCTCTAAATTATTTGGCCATTCAGTTGTTCTAAAATCTTCTCCCCCCCCCTCCTCCACCGCCCCTCACCCTCGTCCCCTTTTTAGTGCCTTTTGGCAAGTAACCCTGAACCCTCACAAAGGAAAAAAAAAAGAAAAACCCTTGTCCCATGCACGTACCTGCCCCCCGATCTGTGAACCTCTTGATCTCTGGACAAAATAGGCCAGCCGCACTGTAGCTGCAGGGATAGGTCATGGGTTGAAGACTACCGTCTTCACCTGAATAGAACGCCTGGTCATTATAGCTGCATTTGGCACAACTTTCGGTCCAGATGCAGCGATAATGACCGGGCGTTCTATTCGGGTGAAGACGGTAGCTGAGGGGAAGCTACCAATCGATTCAGAAATCGGAGCCAGCAAAGGAACGAGAAACTCAATGACGAACTTACCTCAGTGAACTGCTGCCCTTCATTTGTTGGCCTTTTTGTATATATGCCCTTCATTTCTTGGCCTCTTTTACACCAGAACATCTTCACAGCATTCAGGACATCCAAAAATGGAGAGGCATGGTCCTTTGCCATCTGTCAGCTTAGCCCGCAGCTTCAAGGCAGAACCAAAAATAGAGAGAGATTGTCCTCTGGGACATTCTGCCAAAGCTGGAACGATACACAGAATATTTGCATGGGCGCTGTGCCGTCGAGGATGACACACACAAATCCAGAAATGGTCCAATTGTTTCTCGAAAAAAGGGATCTCAGATAGTTGTCTGCAATCGTCCAACATCACAATTTTCTAATTTTTTACTAATAAAGTCTGGAGGTTACGGAGGTTCAATTTGGACTGTTTAAATCGAAAGTGTTCGATTTGGAGAAATTTTGGACTGTATAAATCCAAAAGGTTTGAGTCGGGAAGTGTGAAGCATTGTCCTGAAACAATTCGTACTATCAAGTTGCAACCCCTCCATGTGCGCTCAGTGCAGGAGGGGGGGAAGGGAGGGGGGGGCGTGGCTGGGGAAATTGTGGTGTGTGTGTGTGTGTGTGTGTGTGTGTGTGTGTGTGTGTGTGTGTGTGTGTGTGTGTGTGTGAAAATTTGAGAAATCGACGAATCAATGGAATCATTAAAATTTTTAGACTGGAAACTTGGAAAGGGGCAAAACGAGAAAACGGCCTATCACAGCGTACGGGACCCTGTTGCACCATACAGGGCCCTGACATGCATCAAAGAGAGAGAGAGAGAGAGAGAGAGAGAGAGAGAGAGCCACCCTCGTCAGGCACAAATCAAGGAATGGTCGTCCTTCAGGACCGGGTAAAAATTGCAGCGGTACGGAGAAGATTGGCGTAGCCTTTGCGCAAGGATGGCGCAAAGTTCCGCAAACAAGTCGAGAAATGTTCCAAAATCCAAAAGACAATAAAAAAATCGATGAAGGTCTTCCCCTGAACCCAAAAGACAGTATGGAACTCAAAAGACAGTTTGTATACATTCATGAGCAGGGTGCATTGTTTTTTTTTTGGGGGGGGGGGGGACATCGGACCCGAAAGACAGCTTTTATACATTCATGATCAGGAGGTGTGAAACTTATGGCCCTTTTTTTCACATGCACCGACAGTGCGGTTGAAAAGATGCATAGGGGCTATAATCAGGGTTTAGCGGGGGGTCCTCCAATTATTTCAATTTAAAATATAAAATTTAAATGTTACATTATTTTTGTGTGTCTTATTCTTTTGTCTTCAATCCTGTTATGAGGTTTGAGGTGACGCTCAGCCAGTCTTTCTATTGATATCCTCTACGACATTATTTTTTTCTCACATTTTTAAGGCTTCTTCTTCTTTTATGTAAACCATATTTCCCTGGGGACGGATCATCTCTATCCGGATTTACCCGGGTAAAATTAACCCGGCTGGATGAGTCCGGGAAAAAAAGATGAGCATGATATACAGCTGTGCTGCCTAGAAAAATGATAATATCATAATAGTAATATTATTGTAGTACGTTATAGTATGATTATACATATTAGTATGATATTACATATTTGATTTGATGATTATTAAAACAAGCACTCGGGCATCTGGATAATGCCTGCTCAGGCTGTCACATTCCTTACAGGGATGTGACGCTGGGTGACATTCGGCCTGGTGGTCTTCAGCAGCAGCCGATTGTGCCTGCATGTCTTCCGCTCCAGCCAGTGACAGTCTTTTTATCCAATAACCGTTATTTGTTACGGCTTTTTGTGTAACCTATTTTCACTCACTGCTCTTTGTGTCTTTCCTGTACTGCGCTCGTTGCCTTTTGTCTTTCCTTTGTCTTCACCTTTTGCGCTTCCTTCATTTCTTGGCCTTTTTTACTTTCCTTTACTCCTTTGCCTTCTGTTTTTCGTTCCCTTTTTTCGTTTTCCGTTTCCATTTGTCTTTCCGTTTCCATTTGTCTTTCCGTTTCCATTTGTCATTTCTGTTTTTCTTTTCCGTTTTTCATTTCTGCTTTTCGTTTCCGTTTTTCATTTCTGCTTTTCGTTTCCATTCTTCATTTCCATTTTTGGTTTCCATTTTACATTTCCGTTTTTCATTTCTGCTTTTCGTTTCTGTTTTCCATTTTTCGTTTCCTTTTGCCGTTTCCGTTTTTCATTCCCCTTTTTCATTTCCATTTTCTGTTTCCATTTGTCGTTTCCGTTTTTCATTTTTGTTTTTGGTTTCCATTTTTCGTTTCCGTTTTTCATTTCTGCTTTTTTTGTTTCCGTTGTCCGTTTTCCGTTTTCCGTTTCCATTTGTCGTTTCCGTTTTTCATTTCCGTTGTCGGTTTCCATTTTCCACTTCCGTTTTTGCCGCATGGCGGATATCTCAGGGTACGGAGTTCTATGATGCCAAGGGAAAGCGGTATGTGGATTTTCCTATCACAGATGTTCTGCAGATGATGGGGCGTGCAGGAAGACCACAGTTTGATGAGCACGGAAAGGCGGTCATCCTCGTTCATGAACCAAAGAAGAGCTTTTGGAAAAAGGTAAAGTGGCGGTAAAACCCTCATTCCTCGTTCCGTTTAAAAAGGGATGCATAAAAAAAAAGGAATAGATGATAGGTCATCTCATCGCCTCACAATCCTAGAGCCACAGAGACAGAAGATTTACCCTACCTCCCCAAAGTTTGCCACTCACAGGTGGTCTTTGTCAAAATTTTATTTTCTACGGTGGCCATGCCTTCCTAAAATTGTTCCGCCAATCGCTGCTTTGTGAGGGATGATGTTCTTTGTTAATCCGATCGATGATGCACTTTGTCTCACAAGGGGTAGGTAGGGTGAGTGTGGGCGTCGACATGTTTTCTGGCCTCCGGTTCCCTCCAATGTGTTTCACACGAGGGAAATGGAAGAGGAAAAGAGAGGAAGGGAAAGAAAATAAGGACATCAATGGCTCTCACAGAACTGCCCCCCGGCGAAGCAGCTCGTGCGGCAGTAGGCCGGTCTTGCTTCATCTGAGCTATTTCTTCCGCTCTGTCTTGAACATTCGCTTGCCAGTGATAAGCAACCAGACTGTTGCCCCCCAAGAAAAGACGGGCTTTTTCTTCCCCAGGCCAATTTGCAGCGGACACTGTCAGGGTCCCAGAACTGACAACCCGACTTGGTCAGGGATCCGTGAAAGTCAGGGTGGCGCTGGAAAAAAAAAAAAAAAAAAAAAAACAGGCCACAGAAAACCGCCTAGCCAGAAGGTACCAGCAAGCGTGCCATGGCACACTCTTTCAATTTGGCACTTTTTGAGAGGTCCCTGTCTTCTTTTTCCGGTTCTTAATATAGGGGTTTTCTCTTCCAGGGATGGGTTCTCTTTTAGGGGTTCTCTTTCTTTTGCTTTCTTTCAGGGGAGGGGGAGGGGGAAAGGGGGGGTGTGGGGAGCGCTCCTTTAGCCAAGCCCACATCTCATCACCCAGCCGGCATAATGCCACCCAGCCCGCATAGCATCACCTACCCCACATACCACAATCCAATTCACATAGTTCAACCCATCCTGCGTGTACTGCCCATCCCACATGATGCCCTTCAGCCAGACCACCCTATCTATTGGTAACACCCACCCCAGATAGTATCACATAGGCCGCAGAATACCACCCAGCCTACATCGCACCACCTAGCGGTGCCATCCATGGTATGCTATCTTTTTTTTTTTTTTTTTCCTATGGTATGCTAATAATGCTATCCTTCTTTTTTTATTTTCTATGGTATGCTATCTTT